TCTTTCATTTGCCCATTTTTTGATTGAGTCTTTTATTTGGGAGGATCTAATTTTTTGAGTTTTTTTATACATTCCAGAAATTAGTCCTCTATCTAAGGAATAGCTGACCAAAAAAATTATTCTCATTCTGTAGGTAATTTCTTCACTCTTGCTGTACAGTAGCTTTTTAATTTGATATAATCCCATCTATTGAGCTTTGATGTTATTTCTTGTGCATTTGGTGGTTCTGTTCAGTCTTTGCTTATGCCTATGACATCAAGACTTTTACCTATTTTATCTTCCAGCAGATTTGATGCTTCTGTTTTAACATTTAGATCTTTGATCCATTTTTATTTTAGTTTAGTTCCTGGTAAAATTTATATATATATATATATGGGTTTAGATTCAATCTTCTGCGTGTGGATAGCCAGTTTCCTCGGTACCATTTGTTTAAAAAGTTATCATTCCTGCAGCATATGTTTTTGACCCCTTTGTCAAAGATCAGGTGAACATATCTGGGGTTATTCTCTGTCCTCCATTCCATTCCATTGATCCACATGTCTGTTTTTGTACCAGTACCATGCTATTTTTATCACTGTAGTTTTATAATATAACTTGATATCCAGGATTGTGATGCCTCCTGCTTTGCTTTTGTTGCCCAGGATTACTTTTACTATTCTAGGCCTTCTTTTAGTTCTGTATGAATTTTAGGATTGTTTTCTCTAGTTTTGTGTGGAATGCTTTTGGTATTTTGACTGGAATTGTATTCAATCTGTATATCAGTTTTGAGAGTAGGACCATTTTGACAATGTTAGTTCTGCCTATCAGGGGCTATCTTTTCATTTTCCAGTGTCCTCTTCAGTCTCGTTTTTCAGGGTTCCATAGTTTTCATTGTAAAGATCTTTCACTTCCCTGGTTAGGTTAATTCCTAAATATTTTATTTTTCTGATACTGTTATGAATGGTGTTGTTTTTCTAATGTCTTTCTTGGTATTATTCATTATTTTCGTACACAAATGCTACTGATTTGTGTATTCTGCTACATTACTGAATGTAGTTATTAATTCAGGAGTCTTTTGGTGAATTTCTTTGAATCTTTTATGTAGAGCGTCATGCCATATTTGAATAATGATAATTTGACTTCATCCTTTCCTATACACATCATTTTTTATTTTGACACAAGGACTCACTAAGTTGCTAAGTTATCTAGGTTGGGCTGAAACTTGTGATCCTTCTGCCTTAGCCTCCCAGATCATTGGACTTACAGGCATGTGCCACTACCACACCTGTCTTAACCTTTGCTTTTTTTTCTTTTTGCTTCTGCTAAATAAATGGTCACCCAAGGAAGCCACATTTACCAACCTCTTCAGCAAGACCAAAACTCTCCCCAACAGAGAGCAGCCACGGGTTTTTAAAGACTTGCCAAAGTCACAAAAAAAAATAGTGTAGATTGAGAAATGTAATGTACATACATCAGAAAAAAAAACTGTATAATTCTCAATTTGGATCAAAGTTAGACATAAATAGGGAGAGTCAGCAGTTCACAAATATTCAACTTACAAGTAACATAAAGCATTTCTTTTATAACTAAAAGGTCCTTATGTTTTTTTCAATGCACTAATCCCAGGAACCTTACAATTCCCAAACCAAAATATTCAGCCACAATCAAAAGTCACATTAGTTTATGCTATTATTAAATACATAAAAAGGTAGGCAACATGATTTATAAAATATAACTTTCTTATGATTTATACCAACCAACCTGTTGGTATTTGTCATCAGTCCAGGGAGCAAAAATCCAACAGAAGGTTAAGTCAATTCTGGGAGATTCTAAATTAATCATTTATTCTAAAACTAAATCTAGTATCCTTGGTTCCAAACAAAAACTTGATATTTTTTTCCTTAGATTAAGCCCAGAGGAATTATACATCCATTTGCCTCTGCAGTATGAACTTGCTACCACTAATCTGGAGGGCAAGAAATGCCCTGTTGTTTTTATAAACTTAATATTAAGTCTGTTTCTAAGGCCCACTTGTCAGGATGGCATGAGGGTCAATCTCAGTTATGTTTTAAGTCACCCCACCCATGACCACTATTGGGATGGGAGCAGTAGACAGTTTCTCAGGACCCAGAAGACCGACCCCCTGTGGGTATTTATTCAGGGGGAGCAGTGAGCCTGGCCCACTTGACAGCCAAACCTGGATGCCCAGCAGGCCCAGAGGATCACTGGCCATTGCCCCATCCCCTCTTCTGACCACAGGCTTGGACTTCCCTTGAACTTCCAGCAGTCGTTCCTCTTCCCAGTAAGGCTTTGGCGTCATGGACCTTTGCCACGTAGATCCAGGACAAAAAGACAAGTCCCTTCCCAATCGCCCATGTGCTCCTCCTCAGCCTCCAGATTGACCAGGAAGCTTTGATGGAGGACACCTCCCAAGGATGAGGAGAGAAAACACCTTTAATTCATTCATTGACTGACACCATAGTTTCAATAAGAATTTATTGACTATAGAGCACCTACTGTCTGCCAGGGGAAAACAGGGATGCAACACTGTTCACAACAGGGAGGAGAAAACATAAATTATGCTTCAGTAAGTTAATCTTGCACCTTTATTAAAGCAAACACAGCTTAAGACTCTATAGTCAGAAGTGCTCATCATAATAATTTCAGTATTGTTTTCCGTTCACAGTATTCTTTAGACTTCTTGATTGACTTCTGACCCTACAGGAACCCCCAAGGGACAGCTTTCCTGCATTTTGCACCTTCCTTTAGGCCAGGTGAACAAGGCCATTTAGTGCAGTGGCTATGAACAAGGCCCAGAAGCCCCAGCACCATTCTTACTGTAGCTGTGTGACTTTGGTCAAGTTAATTATGCTTTCTGTGCCTCGATGTCATCATCTTGTTAAAAGGACAAAACAAGTTAGAGAATCTAATGCACTTAGAACAGCATTTGGCATGCAGTGAGCACTGAGAGTGCTACTATGTCGTAATAAAGGTGGAGGGGGTGGGGGTGGGGTCTTCAGTACCAGGATGGCAGAGAACAATAACAAGCAGCTGAGCTGTATAGACGGTAAGTGCTGAATGAAGAGCAAAGTTTTGCTGTAAAACAATGATTTCCAAACCTGACCACTTTTCAGAATCACCAGAAGAGTTTTCAAACCTCTAGTGCCCAGGACCCAACTCCAGAGATTCTTATTTAATTGGTCTGAAGTGGGGTCCGGGCCTGTTCGAGGAATTCCCATGGAAGCAAGAGTTGAACATGCTGGCTCTAGAGCAATCTGACACGTGGGCCAAACAGTCACACATACCCTACCCTGCAATGAAAAGAATTCACTCCAGAAGTGCCTCTCCTCCTGCTACATGAGCCCCAGCTGTCCCATCAGTGTCACCTCCCTCCTGCAGTCCAGGCATCTGTGGGACACTCATTGCCTGTCAGACTCTGGGCCACGTTTTGAGCAGTACAAAGTTACCAGACGAAATCCCTGCTTTCAGTGGTGTGCAGTGAACCAATAAGTGGTAAATGTAAAAATGCCCTGAGATATATTGTTGAGTGAAAATGTTTCATTTTATCACAAGTATATTATTCTGTCTGTGGGTGCATAAATATGAAGGCTACTACCAAAAAAAAAACCTAAAGCCATACCTTTTATTTTTCATGTCTTTTCCCAAAAGAAATATTTATTTTTGTGAAATTAAAAAGTATTAATTCAAAATTTATAAAAGACCAGAGTTGGGGGAGGGGCTTTTATATTAATTTCCCAGGAAGATATAAAAGAAATGTCTACCTCCCAATTAGGATAGTCGCTGATAGGCCAAAGAATGACTGGGACAAGTCTAGCTTGGTGTGTAAGCAAATGTATTAAGGATTATTGACAGAGCCATGGATGGCTTAAGGGCAGATGCAGTATCAAAGTCGCCATCCTCTGCTTGCCATGCTCCTGTTCATACAGAGTTCTAAGTAACAGCAAAAAAGCAAAAGCAAGAACCAAAATCCATGGGAAGAATTATCTGTTCATGTGCAGCCTATTCTCATCCTTATCAGTAATTCTGCTAGTCTCAGCAAATACAATGGTGGATAGCTCTGTTTTGCAGAAATCTAACACACACCCTCAGCACCTGGTAAGAACTCAATGGACAGCTGAATGGCCACCTATTACAAAATGGCATTACCTTGGCTATAGTTTGGACAACTATTCTTTTTTCAGGGGTCTTCTAAAATATTTTCATTTAGCTAAATAAAGACATGTGTTATCTTGCCTGTTAGTTGTGAGAAAGCTGTTAGCCTTGTCAGACATGCTTTTATCTAAAAAACTCATTATGGTTTAACAGAGAGCAATGTCCTGAGAAATGGGACATAAGATAGGGACAGCAGAGGAAAGGCAAAAGCAAGATAATTCTGCATGAACCTCTGCTGTATACAGGAGGGGAAGACCTGAAAGCCACACTTCCATCTTTGCAGCTTTGATATTTTTACCTGTGACTGGTCCTCCTAGCAAGTTCAAAGCTAGATATCAGTTTCTATATCTAGCCCTTTAATGGAGATTCTCTACTGTAGCTGCAAGTCAGCATCATGTGGAGTAGTTTACTAAAATATCAATACCTGAAACCCAGACCAATTAACTCATATATGGCGAAGATTAAATTTTTTGAATTTGTTCATGAAATGCATATATGTTACCCAGAAAAAATTCAAGAAACAAGAATTTGAACAGAATACATTTCATTATATTCCATTGTTATGAGGGTTCCAAAAGTAGATCACTAGACATTGAAGGGTTAAGAGTATGTTTAGTATGTTTAACATGACCAGGGATGACACCCATTGTTGGAAGAATCATACACACATGCTTACACACATTTTGGCATCATTATAGTTTTGGGTAATGTGGTGCCTACAAAATACTCCAAAAATCATGTCAATCAGAAATCTTCTTGAACTCTAGGGAGATAAGGTGAGAAAAGAAAAAATATTTGTATTATGAGATTCCATTATTGTAACACCTTGTGTGTTTGGTTCGTTTCAGGCTCGGCTGACTAAAGAACATCGCTGGGGAAGTTCACTGCTTTCTAGAAACCACTCCTTGGAAGAGGAATTTGAAAGGGCAAAGGCAGCAGTAGAGGTAACTTCTTTAAAATTTTTTTTTCCTTTTCATATTTTTGAAAGTGGTATTCAAAAAATCAAACCTACAAGAATCAGATAAAATGAGTGTTACTTTATAGATACAGGAAAAAACATAATTAGGATTGTCAGAATAAGACTTGTTACCAGGGACTTCTCAGTTACTTGGACTTCTCAGTGGGATGACAAATAGATGTGCCAGTCCTGTGACAGATGACTAAGGGCTGGAGTCCTGCGTTAGAAAGAACTCTGGACCTCATCTGGGTTCTGTGCTGAACCACAGCCATGTATTTGCTATGCCTCTGTGAGGCAAAATTCAGGCCTGACAGTTTTTTCACCTCTGTAGCATCTAAGAAAACACAATGTCTGAAACATGAAGACTTTGCTGACCTTGAGTATTATGTATTTCCCTAACTAATGAGAAAAAAGGCATGGCTGAGATATTCTAATCAATGGACAGCCTATAGTGACCTGAAGCATAATATCTTTTATTAAAAGTATCCAAAATATTATTGATAAATATAATTAAATTCTTTATTTGAACATTGACTTCCATATTTGGCCTTCACTAAGGGGTAGAAGACAGAAAGGAAGCCAAAGGAAAAAAAACAAAACTCAGCTTTGGCTCATTTCTGTTAAAAAAAATCCATTTCTTCCTGGCTGGAATCACAAAATGTACATCACAGATGCTATCTTCAGTGCTCATCAAAGCCTTTGCCAGATTGCTGTTTGAGAGTGGAACTTTTCACTGAGCTCAAGTATGGGCTTGTTAGAACCTCTGTTTTTCCTACTGATACAAAATCTTGAAAATTGAAAGCATTCTTGGGATAGGTTTCTTTTATGTGGCTGTCTTACCCCTAGAATCAAGATGAAATGATTTTAATGTGGGCAGTCTTCCAGTAACTCTATACTTGAAGTACCATAAAATCACATTTGCAGTTTAATATTACAAGGACTCTATTCTGGGAAATAATTTCCAGCTGTAATTTTATATCATTACTCAGGAACCCAATAAGAGAACATTTTTTATCTCATGTACGCTAAAATCCCCTTAAATTTCTTTCAATTTTAGCCTTTTTAATTAAAAAAGCTAATGAATATTTAGCGCTCTTAGCATGATCAACTGATGTACTTGGTTGAGACCAGCTGAGTTCAATCAAATTGCTCAAATGCATGGAGCCTGTAGCTTAATTTATCTTAAATGTAGGTTTTCCTGACTTTAGAGCTAATTTAAATTTATCTTTTGAACTCCTACTGTGTGTAGTACACTGAATTAGCACTTAAAATGTTATTGAGAACTAGAGAATCCTGGGTCAGGACAGACATTAGAGTTTATCTAATCCCCTTTATAATGAGAAAAATAATGGATTCACACTCAAAAGACTTAATCACAAAGAAACAGATCAACAATGAAAAAACGGCTACCCTTATTTCAAGACATATATTTACAAAAATCATTTAGTCTTAGTTTTAGTAAAAATTTTAGAAGTCATTTATCCCCACCAGACATATAGCACCAAAAAAAATTTTTATAACACTTAACAAATTACTACCATGTTTCCACTTAACACATCCAATTAGGGGCAATTCATTTCTTTTCAAGCAAACCCATTTCACGCCACCTGCTTTGAAAGCACAAGGGCCTGAGTTCAATCCCCAGTACCAAAAAAAAAAAAAGAAAAGAAAACCCATTTCAGTTTTAGTCAGTACTAATTATCAAAAAGCTCTCCCCCCCCCATTAACTTTATTGGCACATTTTAGGTATACAATACAGTTACATTCATCATTGGGATCTTGTACCTTTACATGAGTCTCTTGGTTCTTTTTTTTTTTCCTCCTTCCCTTGCCCTCCCTTCACCCCTTCCACCCTTCCCTATTTGCAAAGACCTTGTTTCCATTTTCTTCCTCTTCTCATATTTTTTCCTTTCCCTTTTTTCCCTTCCCCTATCCCTCCAAATTCCCCTGCTCTTTTAGACTTTTTCTTCCTGTTACACAATATCAGTTACATTTTTTAAATTACAATATTAAGATCTAGGAGACATTACCACAGATTTTACAGAATTTAAAAGGATACAGAAAGCATATTATAAAAATCTTTTTTGAAATAAATTTGACAACTTCTAAGAAGTAACTTAGAAGACAAATTAATGAAACTAACTCTGGAGGAAATATAAAATTTGAATA